GCTGTTGGGAGCTAGTAGAGAAAGGGGCCATTGCATGCACCACTGCCACCATCTCTTCCTGGCATTGCAATTTAGTTAGTAACTTCCTAGTACTGGAGCTCTGCTCCCTTGGGACATTTGTATACTGTTTTTTTTCCCTCTTCTTTTTGGTGGTGCCAAGGTCAGAGGCTTGTAGCAGCTAAATCACAGCTTGAGCGCACGACGCTGGTACTTGGACGTTGCTGGAGAGAGTGACCGTCCTGCGTGGGAGTCATGGAGCAGCTGGGAGAGCCAGGGCTCACCTGTGAGTGCTCAGATGATTTCTCTGCTTAGTTTGCAGTGCATCTCTGTCTCCTGGGTGAAGGTTGGATGCAGATGCCTGGTTACCAGCACTGAACCAGATCCTGGCGCTTGGAGATGAGGGACTGTATCTCCCACATGCCCTTTGTGGGGTGTTGGAGGTGGCCAGCTCCTCGCAGGATCATGTTTGATCTCAGGGTTCTCTTAGAGCATTGCACTGCAGCGTGGATGAGACTTAAATCTACTGGGTTCGAGAGCTAGGGGTGATTTTTGCAAACAGGGAGCCTTAAGCCCCCTGGGAGGAGGGTGTGGGGGACTCCCATGGAGACTCTTCTTTACCTCTACTATTATTTTTTGTTTATTTTCAAAAACTCTATCTTATAGGAATCTTTTACCCAAACCTGTGAGACTGCCTAGTTTAGTTAGAGACAGTGCCTTTTGTTACTGTTCTGTTTGTCTTTCCTTTTGCCTCTTAAAAGCATTTTGCAATAAAGACATGGAGAGGGGAGGCTTTGTGTGAGCCTGGTGAGCTCCTAGGAGACAGGGTGGCGTGTAAAACACCTCTCACCACTTGCTGCATGTGCTGGGAAGAGCTGCGGGCTTGGCAGTGCTGGAGAGGAATGACAGGATGACAGGAGCCATGGACTCAATGCTGTCGTGGGGATGTGCAGTGAAGGAGGCAAGGACAAGGCAAGGCTGGGTTGGTACACACTCTCCTTGCATTAATAGAGGTTCAGGGTACCTGGGGCTGCTGAGTGGATGGTTTGCATGTTCCTTCAGTAGGACTGCTTGGTGTCACGTGTCCTGTGGGTTGAGATGTGCTGTGCTGGTCATTGATAGCTGGGGATGCTGTGCACTGAAATGTGCAATCCCAGACTGTGTTTTTTTCCAGGGGCAAGTAAAATTGCTGGGATAAAGATTTAATTTTGACAAGTGGCAGATGGAGACCACTGAGAGTGTCTGCAAATGGATTCAGCTGAACAAATGAGGGGAAGAGTTTTTGATAAACCTGAAGGATGGAACATTTTGAAATGCCTTAGAAATTACCTTGCATCTCTGAGCAGTGCCCATCTCACTTGTGTGCTGGTTCCTGATTGTCCAGGACAGTGCTTTGACACCATTTACCTGTGTCTGTGGTGCTCAGGCATCAACAGGGCTTCTGGAGGATGTGGAAAGGGATTGATGGATGTTGGGGACAGTGGCAGGGTCATTCTTCAACCCATCTGTCCAGGAGATGACAGCAGCACTGACTGTGACCCCCGGCAGTCCAGGGCCTCTCTTCTGGGGACCCCCATCTGCGATCTTGCTGTTAGACACATCCATAAGAGAGGGGTTTTGAGCCTCTCTGAGGTTTCTCTGCAGACCCCAGGTCTGGGATGATGAGGGGTCCTCAGACCCTCCTGGTGGGGAGGAAGGGAGAGTTCTTGTAATATTCTGTAATATAAATATATGTGCCCTGGTTCCTCTCCCAGGCTCATTGCCAGTGCTGCCTCTGAGGCCAGGGGATGAAGGTGAGGATGGGGTGAAGGGGTCATCCCTTCCCCAGTTCTGTGTCCAGGCTCTCTTGAATGTCAGCAAATGTGTCTGGGATGTGGTAGAGAATGTGACACCTCCAGTTTCAGATCGTTATGATTTGGATGAGCTCTGATGTTGGTGAGCTCTGCTGGAGCTAAAGGCTTCACTGCTGGGGAAAGCCAGACCTGCTCCACTGGCCGTACCTGTGTCTACAAGGAGAGCACAGAGCAAGCGATGGGGACGTGTTTCTGAATTCTGGGGTGCAAATATCTCCTTGGACAGCTGAGACAGGGAACTGCAGGATGTTGTGGCATAGGCTGTGTGCTTGGCCAGGTCATGTCTTTGCTGGAGAGCCTGTGTGTGGTGCTGGGATGTACTCCTGGCTTCTGGCAAAGGACTCATTTCCTCTCTGGGGCTCTGTGTTCCACTCTTTGTGTTTCTGGGTTTTGTTGACTGCATTAATCCCTACCTCACACAAAGCAGCTGTCCCAGATGTGTGGCGCCAGGTACTTGTGGGCAGAGATGCTTTTATCGTAGAGCCTCAAGAGCTGGAGCAGCCTTTCCCCTCCTGTGTCCACCATGCTCCAACAGGCCTCGCCTGAGCTTGCTGCTTTGCATGCCTATTGAAGAGCCCAACAGCACTGGCTTCCCCAGCTGCCTGTGGGTTATTGGGTCCTGAAGGATTCAGGAGCTCTGAAGGCTGCAGGGTAGCACTGGGGGCTATGGGGCTACCAGGCTGCCAAAAGAGTTTAGTTGATGGCATAGGCTTGCAGGGTCTGGACCAGTGTCACCAGGCTACATCTTCTGCTCATCTCCTATACCTCCGACATTGTCAGCCTCTCTGGGAAACTGGGATCCATCTTTCCCCTGTACCCAAATTCAGCAGCATTGCGAGAAAAGACAGATGTGTTGGAGCTGCTGAGAAAGCAGAGGTTGTGGGAGCTCCTGATGCTCTGGCTCTGACTTTCCCACAGGTGTTTCTATTTGTCAGAATGTCCTGCACGGCTTGTGCATCCCCTTGCATTTTGATTAGGGCAGCAAAGGCCACTATGGTGCTAAGCAAACAAGCAGCAATTAAAGAACAAATCATGTCTTCGTTAGGCGCCCTCTCTTTACCCCATCCTGAACTCTGGATCCCTGTGGGAGGTGATGGTGGGCAGAGCTGGAGCCCACTGGGCTCCCAGGCATCGCTGCCGAAAGGCTGAGCAGCCACAGGGCCCACAGCTCTCACCCACGGCTGTGCCTGGTGCCTCTTCCCCTGGGCTGTGCCGTCCCCCGGGTGCAGGAGGCTCCAGCAACGCAGCGTCCATGGGGATGGATCTGGTGCTTCCCTGAGCAGGAGGGCGACTGTCTCCGCCCGAGTGGACTCAGCTCTGGGACATTTTTGCTCCACCGATCACTGAGCTGCGTGTCATACAGCTCCCATCCCGACCTGTGCCTCTTTGCGGTGCTGTGTGGAGAAGGGATAAGGAGGCACCCGGCCCCTTTCCACCACGGGGCAGGAGCTTTGTGTGGGAGCTGCCAGCAGAAAGTCCTGCTAGGCCTTCACAGGCTCTAAATAGCTAGGAGGCAAGTAGAACAGTGAGTAGCACTAGCTGGCTGCTTGGCTGGGCGCCTTGTCAAGGCCCCTGTGGGTTGCCAAGGTTCGGGCTGAGCACTGCCAGGGGCAGGCAGCCCAAGCAGAGGCGTGCTCTTTGTCTGGAGGCCTTTGGAGACTGCTGGGTCATCATTTGTCTCTCCCCCGACACCCAAAGGGGCTGTGATTTATGGCCGCCGTACAATAGGTGTCTGTTGGCAGTGATGGATAGGGCTGTCCAGAGAGCATCTCTTTTTCCTTTCCTTCCTTGCTCACTCTGTATCTCTTCTGTTGCTTTTCCTGTAGTTTCAGACAGTTTTGCCAGGTAAATTCAGCTGAATCAAGCCAGTGCCCCTGTCAGAGAATAAGCCAAACTTTGGGGAAAATGCAGCTTTTCTAGCAAGCAAGCAGCCTTTCCAAGTTGCCTGCCTCTCTGTGCCAGAACTCTTTGCCTAGGGGCTGTGAAGATGGAGTTGAGGGAATGCTTTAGGGTACCTGGAGGCATTGGGCAGTGTGTGCTAGGTGCTGTACATCCTGGTACACACTGCCACGTCATGGGGCTGAGTGGCACATCCTGGCTCCGGAGGCCTCGATCTTGCATCCGAATCACAGGTCAGGCTTTTTTGCTTTTATGGATGGTGTGTGTGTGCGGCATGGTTCTCACAGGGGAACTAATCTGTGTTTGCACTGAGTCTGCATAAGGGCAACAAAAGACACTTGTGCTGCACTAATCCTGCACTGCTTATCTCTGTGGAAGATGCCTGGGCAAATGTTTCTGACCCTGAAGAGTTGCTGGGCCATGCTGGTTCCTCTGCTCTGTGCTGTGGCTGGGAGATCTCTCCACCAAGGCTCCCATTTCTGGCTCTGTGCACTTTTGTGTCTGTCAGCATGGGATCCTGTGGCAGGTTCCTGGGTGGTGGTTTGATGGCTGTGAGCAAGGAGGAGAAGACTGAGGCTGATGTGCCATCTGCATGGTGCTGGCCACAGGAAACTATTGAATTCCTCCTTGTGTGGAGCCTCCCTGCTGCCCTGAGCCCAAGAACATCAGCAGGTTGTGGGCTGGGAGCTGGATCCAAGCTGGAGCCTTGCAAGACTGTCCTGAACACCCAGCAGTGGCAGGACAGCATCTGTAGTGTCCTGAAGAGCTGCTTATGGACTAATGAAGAACTGACGGAGATAGTAATCTGTTTTAAATATAATAAAATATAACAGTGCTGAGCAGATGTCTGGGATGTGCTTGGTGCGTGGCATGTAAAGGGCCGTGGCCAAGGCTGCAGCTGAGGTGCCTGCTGGGGTGATTCCCTCTGAACATGGGTCTGTGTTCTGCTGTGACACTGGATCTAGCGCGTCGCCGTCGCTCCCGTCCTTTCTCACAGGCCGGGCTGGGCAGTGGGGCGATGGCGTGGGACAGATGTGCTGCACTGCCAGCACATGCCCTGCTTGTGCAGAGCTGGCCAGGGGAAGCTCAGTGCAGGAGACCTGGCAGTGTGGTATTCTGGAGAAGTCTGGGGCAAAATGGGGACATACTGTTGTGGCAGGTAAAACCAAGGGTACTGCAGAGCCTGTGATGTCCCCTGTGTCCCAGCTCCCCACCTTGCTGTGTCCTGTTCTCATCTCTTTTCTCTGGCAGGGACAGGACAGAGTCCCCAGTTGTTGGAGCTGGAGCGTCTGCCAGCCCTGACGAAGGGGCGACGTGGGGCTGTACAGTTGTCCCTGCAGAAGCAGAGGGGGTCATCAGGGAGCAGGAGGAAGATCAGCCATGCACAAGCGAAGGGGAGAGGTAAGTGATGGGGGCGTGAGAGGGGCTGTGGACCAGCCAGGACCTCAGCCCTGGCCAGGAGTGCATGGAGGGGCAACCAGGGGGAGGATTGGTGGGGGTGCATGTCCAGCACCCTGCACTCTACAGGAGATCTTGTCCTTTTCCATCCCAGAGAGGTCAATATATTTGGTATTACATCAGCTGGATGCAGGCTGGGAAGTGGAGGCGTCTGTGCAGCACTGGGACTAGCCCTCCACACTGGCAGCATGTCTGCTCAGAGCCTGTGCTGGGCTGCACCCTGGTCTCTCCTGACCTTCACTTGTCAGGGCTGAGCTCTGCCGTTGCCCACCTCTGCCTGGGCTCAGGGCAGCAGGACCTGTGAACTGGCTGCTCTCACCCAGAAAGCACCAACAGGGCTGATCCAGGCTCACCACAGGCTCGCACACCGTTGTGGATCCTGTAGCCTCATGGCAATGCCACGAGGAACTGAACTTGAGCGTGGCATTTCCTGCAGCATGGGGGTGGTGTGGGAGCAGGTCCGCTCTTCTGGAGACCAGACCCTCACGGAGTCCTGCACTGTGGGGAGCAGGGCTGCGTGGATCCGTGGGTGAGAAGCAGAGAGTTCTGAGACAGCTCAGCCTTTGAGGAAGGTTTTTTTTTTGTTTGTTTGCTTTTTTTTTTTTTTTGTTTTTTTTTTTTTTTTTTTTTTTGAAAAAAACATCTCCATCATTCCTCCACACTCTTCAGAGCTTTTGCTCAGCTCTGCGTGCCTTCTGGTAAGCTGTGGCACAGTGTCTGGAGTCGGTTGGTGGGTGCATCACCAGCCCCTGGGCGATGGAAAGGGCTGCTCTGGGGTCTTGCAGTGTGACCCCATAAGCCTGGGGGGTTGCACACCTCTTTCCTTTTGTCACATGAGTGCCAAGCAGGTAACCCATGCCCTGCCATCCCTCCCTTTCTGGACTCACCCCCACAAACCAGTTCTCCTGCACCCTTTCCTTGCCTTGCCAGCTCATTCCTGGTGCATCAGCAGGGTGGCCGTGGGACGGTGCTGGCGTGGGTCTCGGGTTCGCAGGCGAGGGCAGAGGGGCCTGTTTGCTCAGACAGGTGTGGTCCCCATTCAAATCCGCGGGGCCAATGGGAGCCGCGCCGTTCAAACGTGCGGCGGTTGGACGCGTGTCCCATGGAAACCCGGCTGCACGGCTGCCTGTCACTCCCTGCTGAAACGGCTGCTTGGCTTTCCCAGGCTAGGCAGGGAGAGCTCCAATTACTGGCTAATTAGAGGTGTCCTGCCATGGAGCCTGGCAGTGTCCGCAGAGTCTTGCTCTGCACCCGCCAGGCTGACCCCCTGGGAGCTTCTTTCTACCTCACCACCTTCGGTAAGCGTTGAGCCTGTGGCTCCGGGGAGCAGGGGGTGCACGCGGTGCCCGGGGGATGTGGTGGCACAGGCAGCCACAGCAGGTCATGGCCAAAGCTCGGTGCGGTAGAACGGGCTGGAGAGCTGCTCCCCAAAGGCATTAACGCTCAGCAGCAGCCTGCTCGCTTCTGCCTCGCTGAGCCGGAATAATATGCGGCTCCATCGAGCTGGCGAACTGGGGAGTGCCCTGAAACCAAGCTGCAGCCGTCAGCCAGATGCCGAATACCCACGTCATTTTGCCCTCTGGATGGGCACGAGCTGGAATTGCTGTGTAGGGCTGGCTGGAGCTGTGGCCCCCGTTAAGGCAGAACCCCAATTTCCTTCTTTGCTCCTTGTGGATCTTTCTGTGGCTGCCTTCGTTTTGCCACGTGGGCTTGAAGAACCCCATGGGCAGTGGTGGCTCGACTCTGTGGGCTGGAGCCAGCCCAGCTATGGCTGGGCTCCGAGCCCTGTATATCCACCCTGCGAGCAGGTGAATTTGGCAGCAAATATCATGGCTGTTGCTCGTGGTCTGTGATGGCTTGTCAGTGCAGAGGGAAGCTGGGTGCCCTTCCCAGGTGCCACTTTCTAAGCAGCAGTTTTCTTTCCAAGCTTCTGCTTGTTTTAGCGAGCAGGGCAGGCAATCATGCAATGGTGTTAAAGAGGCTGCAGGGTTGCAGAGAGTGTTACATGAGTGGAGAAGGGTGTCCCTTTCCTGGGCAGCCAGGGATGCTGCTCCTTCCCCACTCTGGATTGTAAGCATCAAACTGCTGAGGACAGCCTGGAAGCTGAAATCCTCCTGTCTTTGTAGGATTTACGCATGTCAAATAATGTGAGTTTTGTGGTGCCTCTTGGCTCTGTAATCAAGACCAAGCTGAGCGTCACCTCTGTAGCCACAGTTCCCTTCATGTGCTGACCATTGTTGGCGAGACGGGGTGTTGTATGCTCTGAGCAGGAGAGCGTACAACCTCTGAGCAGGACAGGGCCAGCACTACCCTCTCCATGTGGGTGACCAAGGAGAGAGTCTTCAACAGGGCTGGTGCCAGGGCCTGAGGTTGTTAGCTAGTGATCTTGGGGTGCTCTGCCTTTTGCCCATGGGGACCTCCTGCCCAGGCAGTTATCTTACACTGCTTTCCTCTGGTAAGAAACCTTCCTGGTGTGTGCACTGATGGTTCTTGGCTGTCCCAGCCAGGGCAAAACCTCCATTTTTCCTACAGTAAAACAGAAAAGCATTTAAGGAGCAGAAACCCAAATTTTCCATTTGTCAGGGATCATCAGTAAGGAACAGATTTTCCTGCTTGCTGGGTCTGTTCCCAAAGGACAAGACACATGTGTCCTCCCTTAGCCTGGCAAACTTCTCTCATGGGTGGGGACCTGTTTGATTACCATCTTGTGCTTGTTCATGCCAGGGTTTCCCTTGTTCTCCTTGTGCCAGCTTTGTTCATCAGCTCGAATTGCCTCTCCTGGCCCTGTGGGGTCCCGATGGACGGGGCCCGGGCGCCCTCCCTGCTGCAGCCCAGCGAGGCTGGCTGAGCCCCGCGCTCTGTGATGGGATGTGCACCCAGGAGCTGTGTGTGGCTCCTATTGTAAGATGAGCTCTCCGCTCTCTTGTCTCCCTCTGGCCTTTCTCTACACCTATTTTCATTTGTATTAACATTTATTAAACACAGGTGACCTGGACAAGCTGTGTCAGGGCCTCTCTGCTGAAGCTGTTTCCCTTAGTTGATGGTAGGGATGTATCAAAAGAGATAAACCCAGCGGATAATGTTTCTCTGACCCTCTGCTCTTGGAGCGAGGTGGAAATGCAGCCCAAGAACTTGTCTTGTTAGGGGTTGTGTTTCTGCCCACCCGGGTCTGGAGGAAGGTTACTGCTCCATGCATCTGAGAAGGTGGGACTGCTGCCACTGAGCCGGTCTGTCCAAGTGCAGAGGGTACAGCAAATCCCTTCTGCCAGCTCAGGCTGGATCTGCTCTTTCCGACAGCAGCTTCCCTCTCTGATCCTGGCCGTGTACAAGCACTGGAATTGCTACAAGGCCAATGAATGCTTCCCCAGCATGAGCAGGCTGGGACCCCTTTGGGTTCAGACAGGCTGGCTGGGTGTGCTTGGGGTATGCAGTTTGTCCCTTCTTGTGCCTTGGAGATGCTTGGGAGCAAATGCATTAAGAGAGAAACGTCATCTGTTCCTCATGGGAAGGAGAGAACCTTTCCCACTGACACTCCCAAATCCTTTCTATGAGGAGCCAATTCATGGTACTTCTGAAAAATGCAAAACTGCCCGTTTTCTCTCTGCTCTCCTCTCTTTGGTGCTGGTGTAGCCTGTGACGCAGGGCCACGGGTACTGTCCCTGCACCAGAAGCAGCCGTAATGCACATGATGCACGAGGCCGCGGTCCGGCCTGACCCGATCCCTCATTGTGCAGGAGCCTTGGCCCCATGTGCTGCCCTGGGAGCTGAGGGGCCCCAGCTGTCCCCAGACCAGGGCTGGGCATAGACCTTCCTCCCCTTGTGAATTACCCAGCACAAAAGCTTCCTTTCTCCTCCCCAGGGCCCATTCATTACTGGGCTGAAGCCTTGTCATGCTTGGTTAGATGGGGGCAGTTTGTTTTCGTGTTGTAACTGCTGTTACATGCTAATAGTGGGACTGCCAGAGGGTTTCCACCGTGTCAAGAGATGTGGAGATAGCAGAAGGGTTAAAGCCTTGGTCCAAAAGGCTGGGGTGACATGATGAAACTGGGGGACAATATTCTTGCTGTTGTAAATTGGTATTAGCTTCAATAGAGCTGTCCTGATTTACCCCACCTGGCCCTTGCCTTTACTTTCTCACCTTGGTCTCACTTGAACGTGTGTAAGTGGACATAAAGACATGCATTTCCACATGTGCACACATGTGTGCTCTCAAACATGCAGATGCACGCATGGACACATGATCTGCAGAGAGATTTGAAAATTTTCTGGTTCTTGAGTGAAAAATGAGTTTTCTGAATTGTTTCAGGTTAAAAAATCCTGTAATATATCCCCACCCCAGTAAGCCTAAACCCTTGGGTGTGTCTTTTGCAAAATTAAATGTTGGTTTTTAATTTGAAAGAAGTTTAGAAGTCTGTAAATGATGTTTACAAGTTTATTTTGTTTGTTGTGTTTGGTAAGCTGGAAAACTAGTGAAAATGGGATATTTTGCTTTGGACTAAATGAAATGTTGTGCTAATAATGCTTTCAGTCTTTTGATTCTCCAGGAGGATTGGGAAATGTTTACTTTTGGGTTTGTCCAGAACAATTACACAGATTTTAAGCCCTGTGTCACCCTTAAAGTCTGCACATCCTATCCAGGCTGACAGACAGCTCCCGGGGACCCTCTTGGGAAGGTGTTCAGCGGGGAGAGTCCTCTGTGCCCGAGTCGGGTCAGCGAGCTGGGGGCTGGCAGCCTGCTCTGCACCTCAGCGGTGTTTCACCCAGACCCTGACAAAAGCCATCGGCTGAGTCTTCACGCCAGTCTGAGCGTTGTGGTTAGATTTCTGCAGTTGCCAGCATGTGGGCAGGCGAGCGTGTAACTGTAAGCTGGCAGAGCAGAGCGGCCGCCCCGGGAACC